TATTGGGTTTCTATTAGATCAATTAGACCTGTTATTATTGTTATTAGCTATTAAGCCCATTATATATGTGGTATCATTAGGCCCATTTATATTTCAAAAATCAATTATCTTTGGATGTATTTAAATCTCTTTTACGAAATAAAGAGATTATGAATGAAGATATGAATTTCCTTTGATTTCCTTTTCCATTTCCTGCATTTACTTTCTTGCAATTTCCCTTTTACCATGTCTGATCCTATCAATTGGTACTAGAGCCACAGATCCACCGTGGATCTGTGGTTTGCCTTCATCGATCCCACACTTCCGGCACCGTGAAGAAGTGTGATGGATAAGTCCAGTGGTCTGGTGTTCTATTGGAATCCAAAAACCAATGTTTCTCAGTATGAACATTCAAATCCAGCTCCGCCTCCACCACCTCATCCTCCTCCCGATCACTACCAGATTCCATATGAGTATAAGCCCACATTTCCCTACTCCAGTTGTAACTATCGACCGCCAGATTACCCAGCCTCGTATGTGCCTGAGCTTCCCGTAGCTTCTTCATATACCAGTCCTATTTTCCTTCCGCACCCCGCACCACCTTCCGTTGTGTATTCGGACTCCATAGACGTCCCTCAAATCCCTCTTTTGTTGCAATTTTGCATCTCAACCAAAGCTGCGCAATTTGGATACCTTGACTATTCTACTTGAATTTCAGCTTGTATGGGATCTGGGGCATGCATTTTGCAAATTAAGCTGTACAGCTTTTGCATTAGTTTTCTCATTCCGTTCCAAGTGGATGAGGTTAGACCATGATGAGTTTGAGGAATTTGTACTGTCCGGAAAACAAGGGTTTACCTTCAGTTCTGAAATATCCCTTGTTGAGTTCTTAGATGATGCTAATGCATATGTGCTACCAGTGTCATTGACAAGTTTTGGGTTACCTATTTTCGTAGCTTCAAAACTTGTCAAGGAAAAATATTCTTGTCATTTTCAGAAGTTTCTTTCTATGCCTTTTTCTCTAGCAGTGGGTACAGAGCCATTGGATGGTCTTTTCACTATAAATTCGAGCCCATTCCAACTGGAGACATTTGAGAACATGTTGCTAACTTGGGTAACACAACCTACTGCTCGATTTTTACTAGATGGCATGCATTACCATGGTGTGCTGAACAAGGCATTTCTATCAGCTTCACAGAGGCTTTTGCAAGTTATAGAGGTTATTTCTAAGTACATGAGTTCATTGGTAGCTTCCTATCTTGCTTATGCAAATCAAATCCATGTGGTTCTTGCCTTCTATATTGACAGCGTTGGTATAATAATTGATTTTGGCAAGCATTTTGATGGTGATGAGCATGTATCATGGTGCCACTTCAATGTTAAATACAATGTCGACCTCATGGCAGCCTTGTTTACGGCTCATACGACTTATATTCGTTTAATGGAGAGGTACTTTCCAGATCCTACAACCTCATTGCCTCCTGCTCAGGTTCTACCTCCAGTATTTATACTTGTTCTTTGTTTGGTTTCACACTTTCATATGCTTGAATCAGATCATATCTATTTGGGGAAGAGCAGTCAGTTTCCTGCTACCGATATTAATTGCATGCATAATTGGTTGAATAGGAATGTCTTGCATGTTGCCACATGGGTTGGGGAAGCTATAGTGTGCTTATCACTACACATATGGAATGAAGTTTTGTGCAGTAATTTTGTTCTAGGTGATCCTTTTCATCACCATGGTATATGGAGAGTTACCTTGGGAAATATGAGAGCAGCACTAGATTCTGCAATTTGGTTTTCTGTGTACAAGGGATTTACTATAATTGGTTGGAATCATTTCACTGCTCTAGTTTGTGTGAACACGATCCATATTCTTTATGGGGAAGGAATACAACCATCACTTTCACGAAGTGTTCGGGGTTCAAACAAGACAGAGTGGAAGAGAAATCATTAACTAATTCGCTTTTTCACCTACATATTCCAGAGTAATGAGTCCCCTGTAATATGGTTCTTCAAGAGTGAGATGTCACTTACAGCTAGGATTAGACCCATTTGCTCTGTAGTGTACCAGATGACAAACACATTTGGTGGTGTGCCAAACCGTTTCGATCATTGGAAGGGTCTAGCACTCTTTTTGCAGCATGAGATGATAAATTATGGAATGTTCTGTGCCGATTCACTGCTCTACTTAAGCGATTATCAAGCCATCCAATCATCCATGCAATTTCGCAACGGGGGTGAGATCTCTTCGAATTCTTTTGGTGTATTGCTGAACAACAATTGGCCTTTACTCATTAATCTTGAGGTATTCAATGGCTTTGCGACAAGTTATTTTCCATACTATTTTTGGGCCTCCAACCTATTTCCAGAGCATGATGCAGAGGCTTTCGAATATGATGAAGAAGCCTGGATTTTGCTTGACCATTCACCGGAGATGCTGTTTGCTATGAAATGGGTGTTATTGGTACATACCCTATTTCTTGCCATCTTTAATTCAATCTATCTACCACACGAGTTGGTGGTTGGTGATGCAACAAGGCTGATTGTTCTCGTGTTGAGTGTTGTCAAGATCAGTGTGCTTCAACTATTTTATTCCATCTCAAAGTATTTGGCAAGAATGCCTGATTTCATTTTGGCAGGATCTGAGATACTGATATTTGTTTTTTGGGTGAACACACCGAAGATGTTTTGGAAGAATATGGTTCGTGATTTAAAGCCCATACAAAAGCTAATACTGAATATGAGTACAAGCCTCATCTTAAGGGGGTAGGATTGATGCGACTCTAAGTCATTGTGCTTCTATTAGATCAATTAGACCAGATGTTGTTATTAGCTATTAGGCCCATTACATATGTGATATCATTAGGCCTATTTATATCTCAAACCCTAGCTATCTTTGGGTGTATTTAAACCCCTTTTATGATGAAAAGAGACTATGAATGAAAATATGAATTTCCTTTGATTTCCTTTTCCATTTCCTGCGTTTACTTTCTTGCAATTTCCCTTTTACCATGTCTGATCCTATCAATTGGTTTCCAATCCAAATCCCTAATCGGAAAAATACATCATACAAAAACACAGTTGTGAATCCAAATTTTAATCAGCAGAAAGACCAACTATAGTTGTGGATCCAAATTTTAATCTAGCAGAAAGACTAACCTTTTCGAATCGAGGAATCAAGGTGGGCAATCGAGACTCAAAACGACGAGAGGAAGCTTGTGGGTCACGAGGGTGAGTGCGAGGTGGGCGAGTGGTCGACGTCGAGGAAGGACTGAGTGAGACTGAGATGAGGCACGAGTTAGGCTGAACAGCTGCTGAATTGTGAGTGAGTCTTACAGACTCTGAAAGTAAGACGGTGCGGGGCAGAAAATACAAAGAATGAAAGGAAAGAAGGGGAAGGCTGCCAAAACGAAGAAGGGAAGGAAGGAAGTAGGACCTCATGCACAACATAGGGGTAAAAACTAAAAAGGATGTTTTCTCTGTGTTGGTCTCATTCTTCTGTTTTCTTTTTCTTAGTGCTTCTGAAGAAACCAAATTGCAGATTTCTTGTCAATTTCTTATTTACATGTTTTAAATTATCTCTGTAAATTTAGCTGTTTTTTATCCAATTTTTTTTTTTTGTTAAGCTTTCATCTTGGAAAAAGTTGAGATTCCATCATAAAATCAATTGGCAATATGAGGAGTAGCCAATCTCTTAGGCCATCTCCAACCGAAGGGTTCAAAGGGCCGAAAATAGCTTGAAAACCGTTTCCAACTGAGGGCTAGGCCAGATGACTCGTGAGCCTCACGGAATCTGAAAGGGCCAAGGGGGCAAAGGGCCTTGCCTAATCTAGCCAGCTAGCCCTAAGCTGGCCAAAAAATTAAGAATTGCTGTTGGATATAACTAACAACATTGTTATTAATCCTATCGATTATATCTGACAGGAATTGTTAAACAAATTTTTGAATCTAACAGCTAGCTGACGTCAGCTAGTCATTATTTTTTATTTTTTTTTATAGTTTTATTTATTTATTTTTATTTACAAATTTTTTTTCCTATAACTTCTATTTTACAAAATATAAAAATTCTATTTTTTTCCTATAACATCCTAAGCTATTATACAACATTAAATTAAATTAGGTAACATTAAACAACATTAAATAACATTAACAAACATAAAAATTAGGGGTGTGCTATCCACACATTCCAAATTACTTTTCACACACCCCTTGTTAATTTCTGTCCGTTGATCTTCTTTAATTCAGCTGATCCAATGATCGAAAATTAGAAATGTGTGTGAGAAGTAAAATGGGGTGTGTGGATATCACACCCCAAAAATTATACAACATAAAAAAAAACATTTAACAACATGAAACTTAAACAACATTTTTAAAAACATTTAACAATATAAAACTTAAACGCCTACTCCATGCATCTTTTGATCCAAAGATGTGCAACAAGATCCTGTTGTAGGTACTTATTTGTGGCACGGGAATGTATCATTCTATAGCGTCTCATATACTCATTTATAATACTAGTTCTTGGATTGAAAGACAAATTAGGCTCATCATATATTTTTGCACGAGCCCTTCTTGACATATTTGGATATTCTTGGTCATCATCGGACTCTCCATCAATATACCCATCTCGCTCATCCTCCACTATCATATTGTGTAATATGATGCAAGACATCATGATGGAGTCCAAATTTTCTCAACTCCACCCTTTTGCTGGTTCACTGATGATCTTCCACCGTGCTTGTAGAATACTGAAAGCTCTCTCAACATCTTTCTACTATGCCTCTTGGTGCAAGGTAAACAACGTTTCCGCGTCATTCCTAGGGTTTGGAATTGCTTGAACAAGTGTCGCCCAGTTTGGGTAGATGCCATCTGCCTAAGTAATACCCTATATTGTATTGACGACCATTGATGTAGTAGTCAAGTTGAGGTGCTTTACCTTCCGTTAGGTGATTGTAAAGGGGTGAACGCCCAAGAATTGTAATGTCATTTTGGGATCTAGGGACTTCAAAAAAAGCATGTCATATCCATGTGTTATATGAGGCAACCGCTTCTAACACAACAGTTGATTTTCTCGACCTTCCGCTAAAGCCTCTTTGCCATCCGGTGGGACAGTTCTTCCAATCCCAATGCATGCAGTCTAATGACCCTATCATGCCCGGAAACCCATGGTCTTCAGCTTTGTGAATGAGCCCATTTAGATCTTCTTGATTTGGCTCGCGGAGGTACTCGTCTTTGTAAAGCTGAACAATTATGTCACAAAATTGTTCAAGAGTATCAAGGCATGTAGACTCAGACATACCATGGGTTTCATCCATTGAATCATCTGAGGAGCCATAAACCATCATTCAGAGTGTAACAGTAACCTTCTGATGAGGTGAGAAACTAGGGCGGCTTGCCCTGTCCCGTTTCTGTCGAATCAAAAGTATGGATTGACCTGTTGGACATCATGAAGTAAATGCTAGAAGACATGATGCCTCATCCAAAAGCGGCGTTTGAAATCCTCTTCTGTGTACACCGAGTTGGGGTTGAAGTAGTTGTTCATCAGATTGGCATGTGTCATCGCTCTGTCTCGTGGTTTGTAAGAGCGACTAGAAACAAAGCCACCCCATTGAGGTTGTTCCTTAGTTGGCTGACACACCATGGCTGCTGCTCTGTTTTGTTTGTTGTATCTTACTTGAATTTCTTCATCAGACTCCTCATCTTCTCGTCTCATTTGTGCCTCATTTTTCTTCCAATTTGGAATTGGATGAGGACCCCTAATTAGAATCCGAAGAGAATCCAAAGTTGGAATTCATTGCAAACTTGAATTGAAATAGATTGAATTCAAAGTTGTGTGAATTATAACCCAATATCCACCCTATTTATAGCAAAAAAAATAAAATAAAAAATTCAAATCTAATGGCTAGCTGACGTCACTTAGCTGTTGGATTTGAATTTAAGTTGTAGTTTTTAAATAATAAATAATGTTTGGCCCTATGGCCCTATGGCCCTCGGTTGGAGATAGGTTTTTTGTGACAAGGCTAAAATGAGCCATATGGCCCTTGGTTGGAGATGGAAGCAAATATGGCCTATACTGTTCATTAAAATATTAATTTCTTGCAGGGCCAGAGGCCTAAAACAAGCCCTCTAGCCAGGCCTTGGTTGGAGATGGCCTTATAAGCTCATGCAAGGTCCCTCCTCCCATCAATGTGAAACTCATTCTCAACACACCTTCTCACGTGTGGTATTTTTAAGCCTAACACGTGGACAACACAACAGGGTGACGTAGAGCGCGTGTGGCCATTTGGCTTCACATGTGGGACAACCTGCTCTAATACCATAAAGAAAGTTGGGGTGCCACCATAAAACCAGTTGTTGTAAATTTAGGTGCTTTGTCTCTCTGTTTGTTGGTTCTTCTTATGCAAATATTGATATGCTTAACAGCCTGCTGCATATGTGCAATGGAGCACCACAAATTTTTATGTATTATGGTTGTTAGGAGAATAGATTAGGGTGCAGGATACATTACCTGCTTCCTCATGAAGAATGCTTGTTTTGTATCAATCATTATTTGAAGGAAAAGACTCATTAGAAGCTTTTTAGTTGCTTGGTATCCATTTACACATCCTAAAAATCCTATTTATCTCTTTTAACGTGCTCCATGTTAGTTTCTGATGATCTTCCCCGTTCACGTTCATGTTTTGTGATATGTGCTTTGCTTAAATGTTTTAGAAGGTTATTGGAGCTCTCTTTGTCAAAGTGAAATCTTAGAAAGGCCAGTGAAATTTCTCCGAACATGGGGCAATTAGTCAAATTACAATCTACATATGTTCTTTCACTAACTGCTTAAATCATTTAGTCCACTTACTATAGTGAGAAAAGAGAGGCGAGAGAAACATCAGCTGTGTTATAATTTTACTAAACAAACATAATTATATAACAATATTTTGTATCCTTTAGCTCATCACACTAATCATAGTTGGTCAGTTTAATTATTAGCAGCTGATAAGTGCTTCTAAAGAACTTAGTGTAGCCCTGGGAATTTAAACAAATTCAAATTTATAGATTCGAATGGGTCAAGGTTGATGTGATAAGGAATTTATGGAAACACACATATATATTATATATATTAGTCCACCTAATACGTATTCCTTTGTCAAGCATTTCCAAAGTTCTATTAGCTTAGATTCAAATTGTTTTTCAGATATCGAACATGCAAAATTTCTATGCGTGTTTTAAATTGGTTGTAGGAAGTAGGCTTCTGAGTGGACATTCGGTGTGAAGGTTGTTTTGGTCAGATATGCAGTAGAAATTTGCATCATTGCGGAGTCTGGTGTTTTTCAATATTTGCGGAGTCTGGTGTTTTAAGACGAGGCTTAATTTGTGGTCATGTATGTAGTTGGTTACTGAATTTTTCTCATGACGATTCCAATGTTTCATTACATAGAGCTCATGACTGTATATCATGGGTTTCCAGTAATCATAAAAGCTTAACACACGACAAGATTGCTTCCACTTTGTCAAGGTGTTTTCTTTTCTCAATAGCAATGAACCATTCAGCCTACATTTATTTATTTAAGAAAACTTTAGAATTAGTCTTTGAAATTTGGAAAATAGACAAAAATGACCCTTTTTTTTAATCTTGGGTCCAAAATAGGATTTTTTGAATATGCACATAACACACACAAATGACAGAAATAGAATTTTTCTAAAACTTGAAATGACCAAATTGCCCTCACATATAAATGAGTTATTGCGAAGACCCAGTCAGCATTTTTTCCTTCCTTCTCTAAAAACCTATGCTTGATGAACGGCAAAGAGAACCCCTAAATCACCCAAGCATCGCTCTTTCCGGTTCATCTCTCTCTCATCTCTTTCTTTCTCTAATTCGATCATCGTCTCCATTTTTGCTTGTAATTACTTGTTTTTTGAATTGGGTTTTTGGGATTTGCAGAGATGGCAAGTCAAACAAAAGATGGATAGGTAAGAGAGACAGCTTGGAATGTGTTCTGGATTTTTCGAATTGGGTTTTTTATACTTGTTTGTGAGTTTTGTTATTTTGGATTCTGGGGTTTCAATTTTTGAGATTCTAGATCCTCTCAATATGAAAAGGGTAGGTTTTTGCTACGAATTTTTTGCATTTTTAGCTTAATTTTAATTATTCTTTCTGTTAGCTATTAGAAAATCGGCCATATAGCTAACTTTATAGGTGTTAGGAGCTTTCAGTGGCATTCAATCAACATAAACATACATATGCTTATGTGTGCGTGAGTGTGTGTGAATGTTTTAATTAATGCTTCCTCTTTAGTTTGGGAAAATGTGTCTTGATGAAGTGATAAAAAGTACATGACAACTAAATTTCAAGAAAAATAAAGAAAAACAAACAAATTTAGTCCCTATTAGAACCATTTAACATATCACAAAAAATGTTCACTTCTTGACGCCATCTGCACTATCTGCACGAATTGCACTACTGAATTTGTCATGGCGCCAATAATCCCAATGGGATTGAAGTGTGAAAGGACCTTGTGCACTTCCACAGTCGCTGCATGCTTTCATGGCAGCATTGTCATCGTGGAGTTTTATTATTCTACCTCTAACTTCCATGTCCACCCAAATTGACAAAAAAGATTGTCGAGCTCTTTCTCTACACACAATTGGTAATGCAGAAGCTTGAGGCCTTTATCTTTTTCATCCCCCCTCCCCGTGGCACACCAAGATCACACCGTAGATGTACGTTGATGCTTAATGACCTTTGGAGATCACAATATTCAAAGACTCAATTCTGAGTTAGAAATTCTTGTATCCGAAGTAACATCGCATCCCTTGGTTGTACAAGGCCTCGAATTGTTGCACTCCCTGCACCGTTCTAGGAACTTGGACACTTCTTCATCTCTGCTCCATGAAGTCAGCGAGTTGACCATTTCAATGTCCGAATGTTGATGTGTTCGAAGATGCGATCGTGTTCGACGAGTTAGTTGAACTTCTTGCACACCATTTATGGTGAATACAGATCATTGAAAGAGCAAGAAGCAACCTTCATGAGTATTTCCAGAAGAAGCTCGTATGGTAGAGATTGTATGAAAGAGGGGGGGGGGGGAGTGCCTTTCTTCATCGTTGTAGAACTGGATGAGGTGGTTTATGCATGGACAACCATGAATAAATACACCACCTCTCAAGGAAGCAAAAAGTCATTCATTCATAATAGCCAAACCAATTAATTAAAAAATTCTCAAGCACGAATGCAACCGTCATAACTCATAATTAAGACAACCTTAGAGAAACCAACCCAACCACCAAACCTATCACACTCATCCCTGACTATTATTTCTTTTTTTGATTCCTTGACATGACAAGTGCATACTGTGAGCAGGATATGTGTAGAGATTGCGCATGACCTAACCATGTCCCAAAACTCGCTTTCAAATTAATTTTGACAAATTGATGTTTTTAGTATTTAATCCAACATACTAGAATGCGCCACATGGACCGACTGCAAGAATCTTTTTATTTTTTTAATTGTTGGAAATCCAACGGCCCATATTACTAGATATTCTAAAATTCAACAGTTGTTATTAAGCCACATCATATAGAGTCATTGGGCTCTTCTGTTGGGGTTGCTGCAGAGGGTCTCACACCATCAAGTGTTGTTGGCTCCACGGGTTTTGATTAGGCACGATCACCGGGTCGGTTGACTTGGTTAGGCGTCACGACCCTTGGCTCGGGGTCGGAAGAAAGTTTGTATAATTTAGCGCTCGAGACCAAGTGGTATAAGTATAGAATGGGACGTACGAGGTTTGTGTGTTTTCTTATACGAATTAGCAAGTATAGTTAAAGTGCTTTACATTGCATTCATGCATTGTTATCAATAATGATTTGATACTTGATTGTGTATGATGCCATGACACATAATCTAGTTTGGTTAATTTATTGTGTTAAGGTTATGTCCGTGGTGAGTTGTTGAAGTTCACACCTTTATTGTTATGCAAGTTTTCGAACTAAACAGTCAAGAGAGTAGGCGGAATGAGATTGAATTAGATGTGAGATCACTAGAAGTTTAATTAATTAATTAAGTTTTTTTGATAGCCTTGTAAAGAATTCTTGAGTTTCTTTGTCCAAGAGGAATTTATTTTCATTAGGTTTTAGTTTATTTTTATTTATTTAATTTTTAGCTTGTGTTCTGGATTCGGGTTTGAGTTTTGTAGCAACCTGAGTCCGGAGCATGGCAGAATGGTGAATTAGCTACCTTTGGAAAGAAGTGTTGGAAAGGATTTGCAAGATATATATAACTATATGTGTGTGTGTGTTTGTTTGAAATTGGAAAGGTTTGTAACAAGTGGATTTTTGGACGTTGATACCTCTG